AGGAATGTGCATCTCTCACCGCACGTGTGCACAGCAGAGGCTTAAAAGTGCGCGCTGCCTGCAACTACTCGTTTGTAGGCGACAGAAACAAAATGGAGATGATGGTCAGCTCTACTGGGATGAAAAAAATCTCACACTGTGATGTTTAAAATGAGAAAAGCTTGTGCTTGTTTTTTGAAGGTGCATGTTCCCAATCCTTAGGTTAAAGCCTGCCTCATTACACTGTATGTGGCAAAGTGCGATAAGCAGAGATTAAGGTAAACTTCTAATCTTCTGTCCTGCCAGGACAAAGTTTTACAAAGGAAACCTATTGAACTGAAGTACAGGTCCAGCTCGCAGGCACGCCTGTTCCTCCTAGGGCGATGCAACACGGGTGTATGTGCTGGGCTGGTGCTTGGGCTTGCGGTTTTGAGATATATTAGTCGAGATACCAAGTCTTAAAACTTGAAAGTTACTGAGTGGCTCTATTGACTGAGTGCTGTCAGGACAAAGTTTTACAAAGGAAACCTATTGAACTGAAGTACAGGTCCAGCTCGCAGGCACGCCTGTTCCTCCTAGGGCGATGCAACACGGGTGTATGTGCTGGGCTGGTGCTTGGGCTTGCGGTTTTGAGATATATTAGTCGAGATACCAAGTCTTAAAACTTGAAAGTTACTGAGTGGCTCTATTGACTGAGTGCTGTGAGAGGCTGCCGTATGGGGCCACCTGCAGCTCGGGGCAGGCTGCGTGGCGGCTGGAACGCAGCCACCGTATTCACGTGAGCGGGTTTACAATGCCTTTCTAGAAAGGGGTTGGTGGGTGAGCCTACTTACATGTTAGTCCCCGATACTGTATATTAGAAAAAATAATCTGTTATCTTGAATTAAGAGGATCAGGCAGCTTTATCCTAATATAACCTGAGTTATCCTTAATTTCCAGAGACGTGGAAATAATGATGTAATGGCACTTGCTGTACTGACGTGGCATTTTTTCCATAGGTGACCTCGCACAGCCCCTGAAGTCAGCAGCCTTGGCAAGTTACAGCTACAGGCTTTTGCTAATGTTGATGCAGGTTACGTTTAACTTGTAACCTTTTCCATCTATAGGTAGCATGTACTATAAATGTGCATTTCTTCTGGATTATTTAAATTTACTTCCCCAAGTGAAAACATAGTTGCCAAAGGGTCTGACTGTGATGGAGACCGCATGCTACAAAGAATGCTAGTAAGACTGTGGAAATTTTTGTTCTCATTATGTGTTACCCTCAAACAGCTGAAATCTTCTGGAATTTTTATCACTAATGCCCGAGTCTCAGAAGTGCAGCTAACCTTTGGATTGCTAATCTTTACAAGTACTTAACAGTTGCATTCTCATGTAAGCATGGGTTTTGTTTCAGAGTTTGCACAATGGCAAAATGCCATTGAGCAGCATTGCTTCAGGTGTGGCAGCAGTTATAACTGCAGCTCTTCTTCTTGATAAGTTTATGGAAAAATATATTGATATTTCCAAAGTTCAATTGTATGAAAACTGATAATCTTGCTTGCTACATGCTATCTATAGCTAATTTTGCTTGGGCTACCGGGGCAGAGGGGGTTTATGGCATCTAGAAGTAGTGTATAACATGCACAAGTGTTACTTAATTCCCAAAGGCAACAGATCAGTATCTTCACATGGGCATCTAGC